AAAAATCAACAAAGGGCCATAATTCTGTTAAATTTGGTTACAGCAAAAACTCCTTCCTTTACTACCATCTACACATTAAGGTTGTTCATCCCTGGAAGTTTAAGCAAAATCTGCCATCCAGTTTAAGAGAAGTTGCGTTCACAAAATTTCTACAAAGTATATAGTGAAAAAATCAACAAAGGGCCATAATTCTGTTAAATTTGGTCGGAGCAAAAATTCCTTCCATTACTACCATCTACACATTAAGGTTGTTCATCCCTGGAAGTTTAAGCAAAATCTGCCATCCGGTTTAAGAGGAGTTGCGTTCACAAAATTTCTACATAGTATATAGTGAAAAAAGCAACAAAGGGCCATAATTCTGTTAAATTTGGTCGCAGCAAAAATTCCTTCCTTTACTACCATCTACACATTAAGGTTGTTCATTCCTGGAAGTTTAAGCAAAATCTTCCATCCGGTTTAAGAGGAGTTGCGTTCACAAGATTTCGGTACGTAGGGACAGACGGACGGACGTACGGACGGACACTCGGACGGACAAGTGCAACGCTATATGCATAACAAATCATTTTTAATATGGTGGTTAAAAATACATCAAAATATCGGCAAATACTGACATTGGAATGTTTGGTATGTGGAGAATTTTCGTGTTTTGTAAACAATGGTTCATTTCCGGTTTACTTTTTGCAAGTTTATCATGTTTAATAAATACTTTTTTGCAAGGTGACCATCTTAAATGAATACTTTAAAGTTGATTAAAGATCAGTTTTAATTGTTTAGTATATTTTTTATTTAAAAACTTTAAAGTCCCAACGGGACATCTGACTTGGAATTTTAGAAATCCCTTGCCAATTTTTGGAGTCCTCGGGACCGCGGGACTGCGTTAGTGTCGAACACTGAATACCAACAAGCACACCAAGTTTGATGACAATATCTCATTCCTAACTCTAGTTATTGTCCGGAAACAATTTTTCTATTTTTAGTAACAGTGACCTTGACCCCAGGAGGTCCAAATGCAATACCAACCGGGGTTTCCATATAACCTTACTATATACCAAGTTTGATCTCAATACCTCATTCCAAACTCTAGTTATCGTCCGAAAACCATGATGTAGACCGACCAACAAACTGACTCCTATTTACCCCCCCAAACTTCGTTTTTGGGGGTATAACAAAAAAGAAAGTAAACATTAACACCAAAAAAAAAGGGAATTAATACAGTGACCCAATTTGCAGTACCAATTTTGAACAGAAAGGTGATACTACATGCTCAATGTCTCCAAATAATTTAAACAAAGAGAAAGTAAATATTAACAATATTAAATAATAATAATATTAAACAAGAGGGCCATGATGGCCCTGAGGTCGCTCACCTGTATAAAGCCCCCCCCCCCCCACACCCATAAGAAGATGTTTCATTTAGCTCATTGGGCTATTTGGGTTTTTTAAAAGAAGATTTTTTAAAGTTTTTACTATACACATATAGTTAAAAACAATGACACCCCTGGGGTGGGGCCAATTTTGACCCCAGGGCTCTTATTTGAACAAATTTGGTAGACACCCATTAGAACATGGTTCATGCTAAATATCTTAGCTTTAGCTCTTTGGGTTCTTTAAAAGAAGATTTTATAAGTTTTTACTTAATTGCATATAGGGAAAATCAATGACCCCCTGGGGCGGGGCCAATTTTGACCCCAGGGCTTTTATTTGAACAAACTTGATAGACACCTATTAGAACATGTTTCATGCTAAATATCTTAGCTCTAGCTCTTTGGGTTCTTTAAAAGAAGATTTTATAAGATTTTACTATATGCATATAGGGAAAATCAATGACCCCCGGGGCGGGGCAAATTTTGACCCCAGGGCTCTTATTTGAACAAATATGGAAGGCACCCATTAGAACATGGTTCATGCTAAATATCTTAGCTCTAACTCTTTGGGTTCTTTAAAAGAAGATTTTATAAGTTTTTACTATATCCATATATTGAAAATCAATGACCCCCTGGGACGGGGCCAATTTTGACCCCAGGGCTTTCATTTGAACAAACTTGATAGACACCTATTAGAAGATGTTTCATGCTAAATATCTTAGCTCTAGCTCTTTGGGTTCTTTAAAAGAAGATTTTATAAGATTTTACTATATGCATATAGGGAAAATCAATGACCCCTGGGGCGGGGCCAATTTTGACCCCAGGGCTTTTATTTGAACAAACTTGGTAGACACCCATAACAAGATGTTTCATGCTAAACATCTAAGCTCTAGCTCATTGGGCTTTTTAAAAGAAGATTTTTTTAAGTTTTTACCATACACATATAGTTAAAAACAATGACACCCCTGGGGCGGGGCCAGTTTTGACCCCAGGGCTTTTATTTGAACAAACTTTGTAGAAACTTACTAGAAGATGTTTCATGCTTAATATCTAAACTCTAGCTATTTGGGTTTATTCAAAGAAGATTTTAAGTTTTTGCTATACACATAGACTCACCGGACCTATGCTCGCCCAGGCGCATGCTCGCCCAGATTTTTATTTTTTTGATATAAACTTATGAATAAAAATATTATCTGAATCATGTGTTGTTGTTTCTTGATGCTGCAAGTGTCCTAGTTTCTCACCTTGTTTTTGAAGAGTTTAACGGAAGTTGTTAGCATAATAAAGCAGACGAAAACGAAAACCTAAGTACAAATGAAAGTCTGTGATGCTAATAAAAACAACGAATCATGTGTGACTTTTTAATAAAATCTTAATAAAAATCAACTTAAAATAACAATTAAACATTGTTCTTACTTTTTGTACAGTTTAAGTAGTTCTGATATATTTAAAACAGTCGTAAACTGGTATTGACACCAGCTGTCATATTGTTTTTTACATGCAATTTCCAGGGCCGCCACAATAGTCAGCGTTTTCCATTTAAATCTGTCACTTGTTTATGGTGTATTTTTTGGTTAGACATTGATTATTAATAACTTAGTAGATAACTAACGAAGACTGCAGCTTTAATAAAAAAATTAATTTTTCTTTTCGTTTTTTATCAGAAGATACTAAAAATAACATAGGTCTTACACCACTAATTTTCCCCATATCCTCTTCAGAGTGATCAGTATGCTTAGTATGCCCAGGCAAAAAAAATTCATGATCCTGAGACATTTGAAAAAGGCAAGAAAGCTTTTAGAAGAGGGATATGACAAGTGGTACCACTATAAGTGCTTGCCATCTAATGTGCAAACAGATGTAGATCTGAGTTTAGTTACCAGCACAAGGTGGTTTTGTAGATATTGTACAGAGTAGTAATTGTTGAAACTGTAGACCACAGACTGTTGTTTTTGTTACAGTTTATGTTTCTAGTTAACTTATTGAATTTGAAAAAAAACTTATGTACATGATATTTAGTCACAGAAACTGTTTAGTCACACTCTACCAACAGCGGTTGACTATCTTTTGAAAAAATGAAGTCTACATAGTAAGTATATCAAAATTCGATTTTCTCTGTAAAAATATAATTATAATGCAAAATATAAATACCTGCTCTATATTAACAAATCAGTCTAAAAATATGATGAATGATTTTAGGTAATATCCGTTTTATATTCGTAATAAACCGGTGGGTGAGCATGGGTCTCCTCCCTTCAACATTTCAGAATATTAATTTGGTGGTGTTTGACCTAGCAGACAGTACCCGGATGTAAGTGTTTATGTTTTAAATGGGTCACATTACGTACCAAATATGACCAGCTATAAAACAAATTCGAAAAAGTTTTTTGAAAGTCAAAGTGTATTAAATAGTAATCAAATAATTGCCTTTATTGGGCGAGCATAGGTCCGACAAGTCTATAAGGAAAATCAATGACCCCCGGGGCGGGGCCAATTTTGACCCCAGGGTTTTTATTTGAACAACTTTGTAGACACTCACAAGAACATGTTTCATGCTAAATATCTTAGCTCTAGCTCTTTGAGTTCTTTAAAAGAAGATTTTATAAGTTTTTACTATATGCATATAGGGAAAATCAATGACCCCCTGAGGCGGGGCCAATTTTGACCCCAGGGCTTCTATTTGAACAAACTTGGTAGACACTCATTAGAACATGTTTCATGCTAAATATCTTAGCTCTAGCTCTTTGGGTTCTTTAAAAGAAGATTTTTTAAGTTTTTACTATATGCATATAGGGAAAATCAATGACCCCCTGGGGCGGGGCCAATTTTGACCCCAGGGCTTTTATTTGAACAAATTTGGTAGACACCCACTAGAACATGTTTCATGCTAAATATCTTAGCTCTAGCTCTTTGAGTTCTTTAAAAGAAGATTTTATAAGTTTTTACTATATGCATATAGGGAAATTCAATGACCCCCTGGGGCGGGGCCAATTTTGACCCCAGGGCTTTTATTTGAACAAACTTGGTAGACACTCATTAGAACATGTTTCATGCTAAATATCTTAGCTCTAGCTCTTTGGGTTCTTTAAAAGAAGATTTTTTCAGTTTTTACTATATGCATATAGGGAAAATCAATGACCCCCTGGGGCGGGGCCAATTTTGACCCCAGGGCTTTTATTTGAACAAACTTGGTAGACACTCACTAGAAGATGTTTCATGCCAAATATCTAAGCTCTAGCTCTTAGGGTTTTTTAAAAGAAGATATTTAAAGTTTTTTCTTTCGGTTGCCATGGCAACCAGAGTTCTGCATGGAATTAAATTCTTTGAACAATTTTCAAAGGTGACCACCAAAGGAACATTCCTGTGAAGTTTGGATGAAATTGGCCTAGTGGTTTATGAGGAGATGTCATTTAAAGTAAAAGTTTACGGACGGACGACGGACGGACGACGGACTAAAAGCGATCACAAAAGCTCACCCTGTCACTTTGTGACAGGTGAGCTAAAAACAAATTTGAAGTTATTATACATGAACTTAAAATAATGGAAAGATAGTTAACCAAATTATTTATATTTGAAAGTCGAAAAGCCTATTGTTTACACTAAATGTAAATTTGTAAAATAACAAAAATTTTATACTTCTGAAGAATCTGTTCCTCTCTTTTGAACACTATGGTTGTGATCATGTTTGCTAGTGTCATTATGATTGTTTACATTCATCAGATCTTGAGTGGGTTCATCATCATGATTGTGATCTTGTTCATCTGCATGTTCATGCTTCTGGTCATCTGTTTGGTTATGCATGTGGTCACCTGTAAGACCATGTTTCTCTTCATCTCTATGATCATGGTCACCAGTGTAGACAGGTTTGTCTGAGCTATCATGATCATCTGTGTGGTCATGTTCATCGATGTGGTCATGATCATCTGTGTGGTCATGTTCTTCTGTGTGGTCATGATCATCTGTGTGGTCATGTTCATCGATGTGTTCATGTTCATCGATGTGGTCATGATCATCTGTGTGGTCATGTTCTTCTGTGTGGTCATGTTCATCTGTGTGGTCATGATCACCTTGGTGGTAATGTTCATCTGTGTAGCCATTCTTATTTGCATGGCCACAAAGATCAATGGATGTTATTGTGTCTTTTGAATGATTATGATGTGAGTGTAATTTGAGAAAATCTGAACTGCTATTATTTCTATGACAACTGACCTCATGATCAAACTTAAAAATGCCACCAAGACCAAGGTTGTGTAACATGTGTTCAAATCCCTCAAAAGGTATCTCTCTTCCATTTCCATATTTTGTCATCAATTTCATCAAAAAGAAGTCTTTCTCCATGAAATAAAGTTCTTTTGAATCTTCAGTAGCATCAATGCTGTCTGTAAACACATCATACTGTTTAGATATCTGAGCACTTATGTTTGGTGTGTCAGCTTTTGCCTGCCAACCATAATACAGTAAGCACATCAGGCAAATACTTGGACCACTTGAAACACACATGGTGTAGATCTGTAAAAAAGCATCTATGACAGTTATTTTTGAATGAATATGTATTTCCTAACAACTCATACAAATTAATGGCATCTAAGATGCAATGGTATACCATTGAAATTGATGGCCCTGGATCATTCATCTGACTTCCATTGCTATAAATAGTCACAATTCTTCTGAACCGAGTGATGCTCCCTGAGAAGGTTTTGGACACCAGAAAGTATAAAAAAAAAAACTAGAACTATCACTAAATGTGATTAACACCCCCACAAGACTGCTTCGGAAATGAGGATGTTACTAGTAACAGAATACCTTGTAAAAGAATTGAAATATAGAGTTATGGTTGTGGGCAATTAAAGATAGTTGTGGTTCTTGTATGTTGCATTTCCTTTCAATGTGGTTGGCCATTGATGAAGTTTTATTGAATTACTCTGTAATAAGTCCAGAAAGACAAAGAAAAGGAACAAAGGCAATAACTCTATAAATACTGAAGATGGAGTTATAGTTCTTGTGCACTGCACTTCCTCTTTTTGTGCTTGACCATTGTATGAAGTTGTTTTGAATTTTAACCAGTACGTTTTAAGTTATGCTCCAGACAAGGAAAAGTATCAAAGGGCAGTAACTCTGTATTTTGTCAAAATGGAGTTATGGCTCTTATGCACTGCACTTCCTTTTAATGTCCTTGACAACTGTATGAAGTTGTATTGAATTCCAAACAGTAGTTTTCAAGTTATGCTCTGGACAAGGAAAAGTAACAAAGGGCAATAACTCTGTAATTTGTCAAGATGGAGTAATGGTTCTTGTGCACTGCACTTCCACTCAATGTGCTTGACCATTGTATGAAGTTATATTGAATTCCAACCATTAGTCTTCAAGTTATGCTCCGGACCAAAAAAGCAATGGAAAGGTAACAAAGGACAATAACTCTGTAATTAGTCAAGATGGAGTTATGGCTCTTGTGCACTGCACATCCCCTTATTGTGCTTTACCATTGTATGAAGTTGTTTTGAATTCCAACCAGTAGTTTTCAAGTCATGCTCTGGACAAGGAAAAGTAACAAAGGGCAGTAACTCTGTAATAAGTCAAGATGGAGTTATGGTTCTTGTGCACTGCACTTCCTCTCAATGTGCTTGATCATTGTATGAAGTTATAATGAATTCCAACAATTAGTCTTAAAGTTATGGTCCGGACAAAAGAAAAAAATGGAAAAGTAACAAAGGGCAATAACTCTGTAATTACTTTAGATAGAGTTATGGTTCTTATGCACTGCACTTCCCCTTACTGTGTTTGACAATTGTATGAAGTTGTTTTGAATTCCAACCAGTAGTTTTCAAGTTATGCCCCGACAAGGAAAAGTAGCAAAGGGCAATAACTCTGTAATTAGTCAAGATGGAGTTATGGTTCTTGTGCATTGCACTTCCTCTCAATGTGCTTGACCATTGTATGTAGTTATATTGAATTCCAACAATTTGTCTTCAAGTTATGGTCCGGACAAAAGAAAGCAATGGAAAAGTAACAAAGGGCAATAACTCTGAAACTACTTTAGAAAGAGTTATGGTTCTTATGCACTGCACTTCCCCTTTTTGTGTTTGACAATTGTATGAAGTTGTTTTGAATTCTAAGCAGTAGTTTTCAAGTTATGCCCCTGACAAGGAAAAGTAACAAAGGGCAATAACTCTGTAATTAGTCAAGATAGAGTTATGGTTCTTGTGCACTGCACTTCCTCTCAATGTGCTTGACCATTGTATGTAGTTATATTGAATTCCAACCATTAGTCTTCAAGTTATGCTCCGGACAAGGAAAATGCAACAGATGTCTGGACCGACCGACCGCCCGACCACCGGGTGACTCCTATATACCCCCCCAATCTTCGTTTTTGGGGGTATAATGAACAAAGGGCAAAAACTCCAAAATTAGGAAAGGCAGAGTTATGGTTTTTTGCACTGCACTTCTATTCAATGACATCTATCTATCTATAAAGTTTCATGATAATATCTCTTATAGTTTCAGAGTTATGTCCTGGACAAAAGTCAAAAAGTAAAAGTAAACAAAGGGCAATAACTTCAAAATAAGGCAAGGCAGACTTATGGTTCTTTAGCTATGCACTTCTACCCAATGAGACCTATCTACCTACAAAGTTTCATGTTGATATCTTATAATCTCTTATACTTTTAGAGTTATGTCCCGGACAAAGTTCAAAGTGTAAAAACAAACAAAGGGCAATAAGTCAAAAATTAGGCAAGGCAGAGTTACAGTTCTTGTGCACTGCACACCTACTCAATGAGATCTATCTACCTACAAAGTTTCATGGTGATACCTCTTACAGTTTTAGAGTTTTGTTCTGGACAAAGTGTAACAAGAAATGTCCAACGACACATATATCCCACTTTCTAGCCCTTGACACACATTGGTAATTTGGTTAGAGAAACTTGCCATAAATGGGTACATTGAAGTATTCAATTATGGTAAAAAAGAGAAATAATGAAGACTTTGCAATAAATAGTTTTCAAGATGAGATATTCAAGGCCTTGACCTTTGACCTAGTGACCACAAAATCAATAGGGGCTACTTACTAGTTATGACCAATCAATATAAGAAATATAAAGACTTTGTGATAGTTTTCAAGATAATAAGCGGAAATTATTCTGACATTTAAGGCCCCTGTGATCTAGTAACCCCAAAAGCAATACGGATCTTCTGTTGGTTATGACAAATTACTATGTGAAATATGAAGATAATTATCTTTCAAGATAATGAACTGAAATCCTCTATCATTCAAAGACCCTGTGACTTTGACCTTTGACCTGGTGACCCCAACATCAATAAGGGTCATCTACTAGTGATGACCAATCAATATGACTGTGAGGTATGAAGACTTTGTGATGAATTGTAACCAAGATAATGAGTGGAAACCATTCTGACATTTAAGGCCCCTGTGACCTTGACCTTTGACCTAGTGACCCTTAAATCAATAGGGGTCATCTACTAGTTATGACCAATCAATATGTGAAATATGAACACTTTGTGATTAATAGTAACCATGATAAAAAAGCAGAAATCATTTTACCATTCAAGGCCCCTGTGACCTTGACCTTTGACCTAGTGACCCAAAAATCAATAGGGGTCATCTACTACTATTGACCAATCAATATGTGAAATATGAAGGTTTTGCGATTATAATATTAACAAGCAATTATAATAGTATTGCAAGCAATACATAAGTCCCCTACCGGTTAGAACCCAAGCAACATTCTGATGGGCCATTGGCCATTCAATTTTACCAGTGAATGACATGAATGAACTTAAATCTTATGAGTTGAAAGTTTGTCTATATCAAAGTAATGCGTTAAGTTTCCTGCCTAGTAAGGAAATTATATTTATACAACCTTGCCATATTATTACGATGTGGGATTTTAAAGTAAATCCTATAAGGAATGAAGAAGTTGGAGTAAAAAATACCAATTTCTCGAAAAAAATCGGGTGATGTGGTTGATGACCAGAAACTTATATTTAAAGTTTTAAGTAAACACCTTAAGAAATAAAGAACTTTTACTGAAAAAGGTGAAAAATTTAAATCAGAAATCTTGAAATTCAGGCTATTTGTTGCCATAGCAACCAGAATTATGCAAAATTGATTTAAAGTTGTAATGTAACAAAATTATTGTTATTTCCACATTATTTCGAAACTACTAAGTGTTTATCAAAAGAGTCATTTATATTAAACAATGCAGAATTGCTTAAAATCAAGTGAATGAAATGGTCAACATGTTTTCTATTGACATTTTGATAGTTAAAGTAAAAGCTTTTGTATTTTTTAAAACTATGAAAATTAAAATATCTACAATGAAAAATAACATTCAATATAGATGCACCTGTCATTATTTTGCCTGCCCAGGGGGGCGGCAGGCTGACCCAGGGGAATTTGACATCTTAAAATGTTTGAAGTCTAAATCCCTACCCTAAAGACAACCATTTTTGTCTAAATCCCTACCCTTGAGCCTGCTTGGTGCATCATATGCCCCGGGGGTAGGGGAGAGGGTAAATATCTAAGAGATCAATCAATAAATAAAACTGTTATCAGAAAAACAATGGAAAAATATATAAGTACAAAGGCTTATCATTAGGAAAATAATGAATTCAGATTAATGGGCCTCTGACGTAAGGTAGGTATAGTCCCAATGATTATATATGTATCAATTTCAGTTTAATAACTTTGATAGTATTCAAATGATTAGACTTAGAAGAAACTTATAAAATGGGTATTTTCTAGGGCTGTGCATTGCCATTATTTTCTGTCACGATACATATCACGATATTTGTTTTTCAAAACGATGCGATTCACGATATGTATAATTGCATACTTTGAAGAAATGCGATGCATATTGCGAGTCTTATGTTGCGATGCGATCTGTATCACGACTTTCAGACTCAGTATATAAAAAATTTGGCCATTTGTTTACAGCATAATTACGAATATAATATAAAACTATTACAATAACAAAAAAATAAACTCTTTAACTTGTTGTTATAACTTAGTTTCCGATTTTGATTTTTCAACAATTTACTTTTCTGATTACTTGAGGATTAAAGGTATTTTTAATTATACCATAACAGCAAATTGATATCTACTAGCTATTCTAACACTAAAGTCCACTACTGTAAATATGGCAGTTTAACAATTTCAGTCTTACAATACACCACTAATGATTTTTCTTGAGAACAAAATAGTAACAAGTGATCTGCAATTAGGTCAACAACTGTGAAAATGACAGTTTATAATTTTCAGTCTCAGTTTTCTCGAAAGATTTGTGCTCAACCCCAGAGTATTTTATTTTGAGTTTGCAAATTTTGCAAATTTTGCAAACACTCCACGTCCGGTCTTCCACATTATACAACACTGTCTGATGGTTCCCCAAAAACTACAATGTTCCCAAAACTCGTGAATTATATGACCAGGGAGGATTGACTGTAATTTCCCCTTCTACATATTTTGCAGTCTTCATGGTTTTGTTGGGTTTTTTTACGGGAAAATGATGTCAACGGAAATGAAAGTATAAATTTTATACGTGACGAATATCACGTTGTCACCATCACTATTTTAATCTGACATTAAGTGCGACAAAATTAAATTACAAATTCATGTTTGTAGGTTGTTTTTTCTTGAAATCGCACAGATCTTTAATTATGTTTTTATTATAAACAAGTTCAAAGAACACCAGCCCATTTACATGGAATTGATAAAAGTTGGTTAGTAACGATTGCGGACATGGGGAAACGAAATGACAACGATGGTATGATAATAGTTGCGCTTGTTTATTGTTTTCGTCTGAGCTATTTTTCTTTCTTCAGTCTTTCAAAAAATACGTTTGTCCTTATATTCCTGGAAGATATTGTTAGTGTATTGCGATACATTCCCGCTGTTTCTATACATCAGCAGGTGAAATATGTATTGCATCGCAATATATTGGAATTTGTAATTTCACATGAAAGGACAAGACAGATCGCGATGCATCGATGAATCGTTACACCTCTAGTATTTTCAAGGGGCATAATTCTGAAAATAATGCATCCAGGGTTGTAGGCCTTCTTAGTATGGTAGTGGTATCTTTCATAGTATAGAATGTGTCACAGGGTGAGAAAAATGTGCAGCCTGACCGGGACTCAAACCCTCGGCATACCGTTCCGCGGCTCTACCGACTGAGCTATCCGGCCGCTTACACATTTTCTCCCGTAATTAATCAGTTCTGAACCGTGACATACTCCCCTGCTATATTGATATTCGTCCTCGAATTTCACAGAGTTACAGAGCAATGTAAATTAAACTCTGAGCTATATCAGTCACGGCCCCACGTTGGGCGCCAAATGTCACAGGGTGAGAAAAATGTGCAGCCTTACCGGGACGCGAACCCGGGACCCTCGGAATACCATTCCACGGCTCTACCGACTGAGCTATCCGGCCGCTTACACATTTTCTCCCGTAATTAGTGAACAGTTCTGAACCGTGACAGAATGTATGACTTTTAAAAACTTAAACCAATGCGGACAGCCGGACACAGACACACAATCGATCGTATAAGCTCTTTAACCCTTTACCCCATGAATACCTATTTTAACGCATATGCGACCAGTGCAGATCCAGATCAGCCTGCACATCCATGCAGTCTAATCAGGATCTCCACTGTTCCCTTTTCAGTCAGAAATTCTTTTATGGATATAAAATAGAAACAGTGGAGATCCTGATCAGACTGCACGGATGTGCAGGCTGATCTTGATCTGCACTGGTCGCATATGCATTAAAACACGTATCTATGGAGTAAACGGTTAATATTTTCCTAGAATAGTTTAGCTACAAAATAAACCTTGTTACCTAGTTTCTGACTCCACATGACCCAGTTTCTATAGGGATGGTAAGCATGCTGACCAAGTTTAATTATGATTGAACCATATCTGTGGCCTCTTAGAGTGTTAAAACACTAAAAGTTGAGGCCAGACTTGCGAAGACAGACATTCGCCGATCACAATAGCTTCGTGCTCACAGCTAAGGTGAGCTAAAAACTTACAACACTTAAACTTCTTATTTTATTTTAACAATAAATTTAACACAAAAAGTCATTAAAATAAAAAGGACATTCTTCCTCCTCCTGCGGCCAAACCTGGACACCACTTCCACATTTATACCTGAAATAGAGGGCATTTTTATAATCTTTACGGTTTCAAACTTTATTAAGGTTCATTTAAATTGGACCAAAAATGTTCTAAGATTTGACCTAGTGACTTAATTTTGACCCCTCATGACCTAATTTCGAACATGTTCTAGATTTCATAGAGATGAACATTTACACTAGGTTTCATGAAGAATAAGCCAAAAATGTGGCCTCTAATGTGTTCACATTCTTTTTCTAAGATTTGACCTAGTGACATAGTTTTTGACCCCACATGACCCAGCTTTGAACTTTGCCGAGATTTCAGCCATACATTATGACCTCATGAAGAAACGACAATTATAGCTCACCATGAGTGACATGAACACAAAGCTACAAAAAGAACTGACAAAATTTTCTTAAGCTGCGTTGCATGGTGTACTCACAATCTGGTGCACTCTCCTAAAGAGCCTGGATAGGAGCAGGAGCCTGGATGGGAGCTTGAGTCGGTATAGGAGCTTGAGCCTGGATAGGAGCTTGAGCCTAGATAGGAGCTTGAGCCTGGATTTTTTAAAAATTAATAATTAAGTAGCACAACTTAACAAAGTTTTCAAACATATATTTTGATAGATAAAACAATAGGTTGTTTTTAATTCTATTGGAACAAAATGGTACTGAATTTTGTTTTTCGTTTTTGTTAATTGACACATTATTTTCTCAAAAATCTGCTAGTAGTCTATCAAACTAATCTTGCAATTATGGTGGGGAATCACATGATATGGAGACCACATGACATGGTATCGCAGCAATCGATAATCTTTCAGATTCAGGTGTCCACTAGAGAAATCTTTGTCAATATCTTTTGTTTAATAGAAAATATTTTGTTGAGAGCATGCAGAGTATGCGTAACTGACAGGACTTGCAATAGCCATCAGTGACATTATAAACATTATTGTACTTTTTCAGGAGAATCCACTAATTTTAAGTTTAAAGGAACATAATGCTTAAATTTGTGAGTAAAATTTCAATTATTGAATCAACAGATCATACTTATCCTCTTATTGAAGAAAATGGCTCATTTCCGCATTACTATTCTTCAGAAATTATTTTTTCATCCAAACATACCTCCAATTATTACATTTGCGCTACATGAGCGCAATATATTTATAGTGTATTTCGAAGATTTTCTTTCATGTCTTTAAGAAATCAAATGCAAATTTTTACATCAGAATTCTCCTTGATGTCATTGGAGTGAAAACTCTTTCATTTGAAATAAAGTTTACAAATGAATAATGGGACTTTAAGATACCATGTTACGTGGTCACCATATCAATGATTCCCCACCATGTCAATGATAAAATACACATATTTAGACCACAGAAGTGCAATACCCCTTATGTTTTGTATGGCTTTCAGAAAAAAAGAGTTTTTTTTGGCCTCAGACTCATTTAATGTTAAGGAAATCATTTATGAAATTCCACTCATAATGTCATTGTGCCCGAATACCTTTTTCGAAGACGCCTTTGCATCAAAAATGAAAGTACACATGTATAAACGGATGCATTCGTATGGAGAATTTTCATTGGTCGTGTGAAAACCTTAGACTAATGAAAATACTCCGTACAAAAAATAAAGAGAAGAGCACTCTGCAGAACCATTAATACTTGTATTACGATTTGGAATTCGACATATCTGAAAAACGATTGTTATAGTTTTAAAATATGATGTTTTGATTGAACAGTTATTACAAATAATAATATAATTTGATTATATTTATATGCGCAATACAAAAAATAACCATTCATTTCGAATAAACTGACATTTTAATAGTCAAGTAATTTTGACAAAAACCCAGCGGTCAGGTCTCTGTCGAGTTACACTTGCGGTGACTTCGAGATTGCATATCTTCTTATATCTTGAAAAACACTTCAAAAACACGAATAAAAATATCGCCGTCGTCTCTACTGTAGACCTTTCGCGGTTACTCCCCTTTTTTATTTTGTGGCGTCGAAATTCCAGAGTCCCGGGATGTAAAAACCGGCCAAAGTCTATTACCCGGGACCCGGATTCCATAAGTTTGTCAAATTCCCGACAATCGGGAATGGTCTTCTATCTAAAGCCCCGTGTATGCCCGCCACATAATGGTGTTAATACATAATTGCTTACATGCAAACATTATTTATCTATTTATCTCTGACGTCTGAGTACTGCCAACCCCTAATTAAATGGAATAATTTATGATGCAACTGACATGGCTATCGGTATCCTACAATATTCAACGTGTTTTCCAGAATTTTATCTTTTTACACTTTTGTTGTCTGTGTACCACGGAAATATGAATAGTCTTTTGGAAGAATTGTAATAAATGTGCAAGCCCGTAAAGAGGAAAGGAAGCTACGGGCCGAATTATAGTCAACCCGGCCCCAAGTTAACCCGGCCCCAAGTCAACCCGGCCTCAAAATTGGTCAACCCGGCCCCAAAATTGGTCAATTCGGCCCCACAGTATTTTTATTTAGTCAATGCGGCCCCGAAATTGGTCAGTGCGGCCCCAAAATCGGTCATTCCGGCCCCAAAATATGTATTTTTCAAGGAAAACTTTTCAGGTCATTTTGTTGTATGATGGAATAAAATTATTAATTGAATAGTATTAACTATAGAACAATAGTAAAAAAACGCGAACTGGCATAAAAGTGTCGGTAAATTAAATTGCGCCGATTAAGACTTAATACGCAATAGTGATAATGAATAATTATATAACATCAACAATTATATGTAACTCAACATTATTTCAGATGTGATAATCAAACAGTTTATTCAATTAACAAAAAAGGTATAGCTGTGAAAACAAATCCTTTAAATTCGATGTAAATTAAAATGGTTTCATAAGTGTTAATGCGATAATTAGAAAGAAATGCATAGAATTTCGAGTTAAAAGGTTTGTATAAATTAAGTTTACAACATTTTTTTCCCAGTTCATTTGAATGTTTTTATTGAATACATTCATCAGTATAATTAATATTTGTTTCGTATTTTATTAACTTATTTTCAAAGAATATTTACTGTGTAAAAATATTGGAATATCAAAAAGTGTTTGAAAAAATGATAGTGTTTTGTGTTAAATCATTTTATGTCAATATGACTGATAACTGTATTGACTGTGGATATATTGTGCGTGACAGACAGGAGGCAGTGACCTAGCTGCGATACCTGTGGTAGATGGCAGCATCTCTATAATTAATCTTACTTAAAAACTGTTAAAGGAAACACTTTAGTGTTTCTTTTTTTAACATACAATAACATAGTAATGATTTGAACATAAGGTTTCTTTTCAATGATTTGTCAAAAAAAAGTTTAGTTTTTTCTTAATACTTCTATCGTAGAGAGGTTAAGGTTGAAGACAGACGTCACCTTATTTTCGCGACGGCAAAAACAGTAAACTATGTATGTGTTGCTTGTTTGTTAATATTGATAGTTTTTATATAAAATAAATAATAAAAGATATCATCGTTAAACTTTTGTTGTTGTTTTTGTTGTTAATTTTTATTTATTTCTTGATAAGTGTTTATATTTTAAAGCAAAAAAAATAAATAAAAAAAAATGGGGCCGGGTTGACCAGAAATAACATTGGTTTGGGGCCGGGTTGACCAATTTGGGGCCGGGCTGACTTGAGGCCGGGTTGACTTGGGGCCGGGTTGACTTGTACCGTACGGGCCTGAGAGCTGGCCATTTCCTTGTTAAAAGCACGTGTTATCAATTTAAACAAACAATTGAGACACACATTCCACCAAATCATTTGTAATCATGAAGAATTTAACTTAACTTGTCATTATGAAGCTGAAACTATTTAAAGTCGTTTACCTCACAACATTGGTGTCGTGTGAAATTACATGTGAAAATATGGCGATTCCTTTCCCGTTGCAGTAAGTGAATGGACTGCGCGTGCGCAATCGCTTACCTGACTCACATACTGTCACGTGATTTTCACGACTTACGCACTCGGAATATCTCGGCTATTATTGATAATTATTATGAAAGGACCGAGAAGATGCAACTTAACCTAATCTTTTATTTATATTAAATTATCATTCTTGTGATTTTAAGGTATTTATTCACCTAATGCATTACCTACGCGTTGAATAGTATTAAAATAGGCTAGAATTAATGTCAACCACGGATTTATATTAATAATATATATCCGTGTGTCAACTAAGGGGCATGGGTTCAAACCCAAGAAGAGTCAACTTTTTTATTTCTATATTTTTTAAGTATGTCTCAGATCCCTTTTGGAAGAAAAAAGTGTTATTTTTAAGAATATAATTATTATACGTATTTATTGATTTATTATTAAATCTTACAAATGCCAAATTTAAACCTGAAATTTACAAAGTATAGATAAAATCAAAACAACACGGTAAAAGTATTTTATATTTGACAATATTAACCAGTAGATATACTTTTAAGAAAATTTAGGCAAACTTTGAAAACATTCCTCACTTTGGTAAATATTAAGGATGTTTGAATAAGGCTAAGTAGGAAAATGGTCAAACAATTAAGTGGGTGGGGTAACATTTTTGTACATATTTAGTACAAACTATCAGTAGCGTAACCGAACATACGCCAAATAGATCTTTCAAATAGAACGGTCTGGAGACAGACTAATTTTACGAAAAATGCTGTCTCGGTTGAGTCACGTGATTGGGTTATCTACCGACCGTGATATGGCATAGCACATCACCATTCAAAAATCAAATTATAAGATAATGTTTTGTTAAATCAATCAAAAAATTACTAAAAACTAACTGACTACATTATATTATCAGTTTTTACTTTAAAAGTAACAGTTTTATAGATTTGCAATATAATTAAAAGTTTTCGTTCCCGGTGTCAAGGTAAAAATCTACTGCTCATTATTTGAAAATAGGTCCGAGTTTCATGAGCTTTTTTAAAATTTATGCACTGTTCAATGACAAAATAGAAATTAATTTTACAGAGAAAAGATGTTATTAAATCGTATCATGTAAAAATATTATACTATTTCACGATGTTATTTACAAATATTTGATGTTTAATTTGGTGTATTTTCAAAATGGTACCGATTATCGGCAAATATTCTGTACAAACAATCTTTTTTAACAAAGATGGCTTTAAAAACATCATTTTCTGAAATATTTATCCTTTTGTTCAAAAATTTAAAGATTTTTAAATAACATCATGTCGTTAAAACTTTCATTTTTGTTCTTGTATTTAACCCATTACTTCATGAGCATTTTGTGAAAAATGGCTGTTTTCATTGAAAAGTCTCCCGTTACAAGTTCAAATTGCTATAATACTACAAAAACTGCTTCAACACTAATCAAACTTGGTACAAATGTTCACTGGACCATTGCCCTTGCAACAACATGCTCAGACTTAAATTTTCTGTTACCATAACAACGAGGGGACATCTCAAAATTGCCAAAAATCACTATTTTGCGTTGATTTTTTCCATCAAAATTGATTTCAAAGTGCTGCAACTTCTCAATGGATTGAGATAGAGTCAAATGCTTTTCAGCGTTGGTTACACGGTACCTTATGATCAATCTGGGGTCATTTATAGCCTCTCACAAGTCCAAAATTTTCTTGGCGATGAGGGGGACTCCGCCCCCCTTCAAACCCCCCTAAACAGAAGGGGCACATCCCCCTTCTGGCAACCCCCTGATATATCTTTTGGTTGGGGGCCGCGCCGAAAAAGAGGTCACTTTTTTAACAACATTTCTCAAACAAAAACAAGTGTTGGGGGCCTAAATAAGGCATTTTTTCACCATTTTAGACAACAAAAAGGGGGGAGGGTGAAAAAGGCGTTAAAAGGCGTGTATATAACGTAATGGGTTAATATTCGCCCTTTTCTTGAACACTTACATAATTTGCTTATAGCAAAGTATACCGATTTATACCGAGACATGTTTAATTGTAGCGAGAAGGGTTTACATAGCATGTTTCCAGACCATTCTATTTGAAAGACCCTGGCGTACTATACGAAAAAGTGTTTAAAAAAAGTTAAAAATTAGATGTCAAAATCAGTACCCTAACTCTGGTTAGGCACCGCCGAGAGTTTTGACTCATAAAGTAAAAAAAGAAAAAAGGATTAGAATTATTATTGTTAAATGGAGATTTAAAATTTGCATCGGTATTTTTGGCTGTAAGTATGTTAAGAATGTGGTTTACATTAGAAGTTAAAAGTGGCGTCCACATGTAAAACTTCCGAGGAACTCGAGTCCCGATATGTTGATATATTCAATAGCATCATTTTAAACGATGAGCAAAAACACGGGGATGGAACTCCATATGTATCTCAAAAATGAGCATCGGTAAAAATTATATGTGAATTTCCGCTGCACCAGAGGTGAAGCATAATACCAGATGTGACTCTAAAAATAGGTCAATCGCAGGGTAACTTTTCATCTTTTTAAACATTTATATAAAATTCAATCCTTTTTTTTTTAAAGAAAATCGAAATGTGATTCTACCCTCCTGACTTTCCTCTATGTTACCCATTTTTGTTTTGGATTTCTATGTAGTCTTCATCGAGATATTCTTTCCGTCGTGGGTTCTGGTGTGTCCAAAACATGCAATGTAAATGAAGAAAATGTCACTAAACGGACTCAAAAAAACACAGAGATTCTACAGACTGATGCTTAACATTCAGACAAATCCTGATTTAAACATTTATTGAAGAGATTTGGCTACAAACGAAGGGAATCGCTGCTCAAAATTGCATTTGAGCTCCATATGAGCCGAAAAAAACAGGGGTTCCAGCCCCGTGAAAAAGTTACTCTGTTAAAATGAGATTGGTCCGATGCATGATTTAAGTACAGGTAAATCGGAATATTTAAAATAGGTAAAATATGTAGTAGTTTGTCATTTAATCATATTCAAATGCGTGTTGTTGTTTTTTTTTTTATATCAAATTATATCGAATATTATTTGGGTTGATTAATAATTATAATAAGATTGAAATAAAGAGAAAGATTAAAACTTTGTGCTATTTATAGACAAGGTTCGTTTCAAGCTGAAACGATGTAATACAATGTAATATATTTATTTATATATCATTTTGTTTTTCAAGTAGTAAGTGCATTGGAGTTCCTGGCAAATGAAAGGGACAAGAAAGCTGCTGCCTACTAACTATATATGTTTCGACGTTTGAAATTGTCATCACACCTGTGACGACAGAACACTGTTGCCTTTAAGGGTTGAGGCATCAAAATTGTGCAAGCAGCCGCCCTTTGTGCAAGCAGCTGCCTTTTATCCATGTATGATTGTTAGAAGCGACTAAATGGTTTTGAACTTCTGGAGTTTATGCATCTCTTAGCTCCAGCAGGTGAGATGGTTTTGGCCATTGTATTGCTATAAGTTTGTGAACTCCCGATGTTAGGCAAAATCATCTTCCCAGTTTAGGGAGCATATTACCTTAATTGTGTTAATGCGCCATAAAACCAAAACCAAACAAAAGAGGGAAGCTATATTTACAGACGATACAATGGCTGTGCAGGTGGTAAAAACTAGGGATGTCATTCGGAGTCCGAATATCCGAACGTTCGGATTACGATTCGGTGTCCGGAGCCGATTTTCGGATCCGGATGTTCGTATAAAATATTTCAGAATATTGAGAAAATGTGATAAATACATGTACATGCGTTGAGATAATCGACGTAGACATGGTGTTGACACCATATTGTATATTGTACCTTAGTTTGACAATACACATCATAATGTCTGCAGACCACAAAAAATCAATAATTACTATATTAATTACGAGTAAAGTATGACACATGTTGTTAATCTATATTAAACACCATGAGGATTGCGATTGTCATCGGCAACGATGTTACATTTTTATGTCCAAATTAAAAATTTTAATTAGGCTATTATTTTTTTACATATATTTCAGTTTAACGACCCGTCGACTCCTTATTTTGAGAAAATAAATAAGATAATCAACTAAAAAAATGCACTTACGAATAATAATATGTTAATTATCACAGCTTTTATTGAAAAAATATTCTACTAAAATTATCTTTATTTTGTAAAAACATTATGTTAAAATTTAGATAACTAATACTTCTCATTCTCCGTTCCCATTTGTTACAATATAAAATACATGTTGTATTGAATTCAGTACTTGAAATGAACAATATGATCTCCTTTTTGTTTATTTAGCTAGTCATTATTGTATTTTTATATTGTGATATTAGTGATTTTTGACTGTTATTTTTCTGTTTGTTTGTTGTTATAACCAGTTGCATATTATATGCCTTGGTTTAATATAAACTGAAACTGAAACTGAAATTGATACGATAATTATCCGACAAAATAACTTTCTCCTTTAGTATTAATCAAACATGTGCATTTTTTTAAAAACAATTTTTTCACAGTTTTTTTTTTCACTTATGAACACCTAAAATGTGTGTAATTCATGTAAGTTTCGGCAACTTCTTTGATGATTCGAATCAAACAGCCAGGGCTACATGTTGGTAAACATCAAAGATTGGCAGATTCTTTTGAAAAGCTGGCTACACACCTGTCAAAGGTCATCGTGTGTAAATTGTATGCGTCTTATTGAACAATGGAAACAATATACACTTAACAAATCTTATAAGTGTGCACCATTTATGTCCTTATAACTTTTTCGTTTATCAATATATTTCTACAAAAGTTTGTGTACTGACTATTGGCTGCATTCCCACACTTTTCCCGTGTTCAGGCATGTCAATTTTAATTATGAGGTGCGTTCAACCATGAACGAACGGAATTCACAAAATGCACGAGAAATTGTCAGAATGGGTGAAATAAAATTGCACATGATATTCTCGGATACGATAGATGTCCACCTATCAGAAAAACACCACATGGGTAGATTATCTATACAACAGCATGACATAGCCCGGGGATTGGTCAACGCTGGAGTACACCAAACAGAGGTT